GAATCTTTAAGGTCCCTTCCAACCTAAACCATTCTATGATTACAGTGGAACAGAGAAGACATCCAGATTATCTTTCCACTGGGGTGTTTGGGGGTGTGCGTTGAGGCTGGGAAAAGATACACCGCTTCACAAATAAGATTCTACTTTGGAAGGCATTAAGCTGCTGTTTCAGATCAGCTTCTGACACAGAAATTTTGAAGGTGGCATACCTATCGAAATTAATGGACCCAGTATGTCGGGGGTGGCCCACATACATACAGGCAGTGGTGGCCACAGCAATATTAGGAGAAGAAAGTCCTTGATTGTGTATGCAGAATAATTTTCTAACTTTAGTCTTGCTATTTAAGGCAATCTAGTAGGAAAAAGTTTTCTAGATGGTGCTTTTACAAAAGGCTTTCTGAAACAAAAACCTTTTATGTGCTTGCATATAAAAAGCTATGACTTTTTCCAATGTTATGCTTACTGGGCTAGAAGAGAGGCAAGGCAACCATAGACTGAAGGGGTATACATATTTCCATTCTGATTGGATACAAGTAATGAAGCTTTGGTTTTCTGATTGAAGAGCTCTGCACTGGCTTTCATGAAAGCTTTTTCCACATCTCTGTCAAAATATGTATCTTCAAGTTTTACATCCCTATTAAAAAAGGTTCAGAAACAATTACTAAAATGGCAGCAAGGAAAAACACCTTGGATGTTTAACAAATTAAGACTATCTGAATAAGGAAGACAGCAGCCATTCTCACCTGAAAGCTTCCAAACCACTGAAAACACCATTTGCTGTTTCTAGGTTCTGGTCACTGAGAAAATCATTCAGCAATAGTCTAGCCACAGACTTCTGTACCAGTTTACAGTAGGGAGAATGAAAGATCATGAATCCAAAGTCATTCAAGGTGAAACGTCTGTCTATCCCCTCTGGAATTGGCAGAAATATTGTGTTACAACTTATGTTTAGTACTCACTTCAAGTATTAAAATAAAATAGGGGGATGGCAGGATACCAGTCATCATAACACATCAGCATACAAAAGACAACTGTAAGACAAACTATTTACTGGCAAGTTCATTTAACACACTGCTGCTACTTCTATTTAAAAATTAGTTTCTTACTGATCTTGTGCACCAGCTAGCAGTATGCCCTTTTTCTTCTAGAAGAAAAAGTTATAAACTTAACAGAATCTCAGTATTTCTACCCAGCATTTTGAAATAAGAAATAATCCACTTTGTCTAACTATCTAATCTTGAAACCTATGCTTCTTAGTACGGATGAAGCAATTACTAAACATGGGGGGGGGGGGGAAGAAGAAATCAGTATCCTTATATAACATGTAAATATTAACCTCAATATCTTTTGAGCCTTGGGTAGAGGAGGGAATGACAGACTTGAGCAAGATATATATTCCACCAACAAAAACTTGTAGAAACTACTGCTTATCGACTATCAGGTACTTAGCCATACCAGAACAGAAATAAGACATTTCTTTATGGGAGCGTGCAAATATTTCAATTGTCTCAAAACACACAAACACAAAGAAAGGGACCATGTACTAGTCTTTGGATGCTAAAACTCGCAAATAAATTGTCTGTGTAACTACACATTCTGATATTTGCCAGATCTTGCAATATCATGTGAGGCTACATACCCTTTTGCCACTGGGTGTGGATTTTGTTTCGATAGACAGTATAGCAGCGATCTAATGCACTGAGGTAGCACTGTATAGATAGTTTACCATCAACTACAGGATATTCAGAGACCATATCTGGTTTATAGAAGTCATAGGCATGCTGCATGTGGGTTCCACGCAATCCTGATGGAGAGAAATTGACAAAAGTTGAAAGTTACTTTATTCAGCTACTTTGAGTCAGTTTGAACACATTGCTTAACACATGGAAAACAAGTAATATTTGGGCTCAGTCAGGCAGGTTTTCATAGCGCTTCAGGACCTTTAAGGTAAGGTTTCACACATTTCTTAATCACCTGTTACTCAAGTACAGTAGGACTGAGCATGACAAACACCAGCAACAAATGATTTTCATCATTTCACCTTGAAAGTAGAACACTGTTATTCAGCTCTAGTCCACTCTTTGTCAATTTTACTGGATAATCCACAAGGAAAAAACAGATAGAAACATCTCTAGTTGTTTCTTGCTGCCTCCTATAACAGGACTTGACCAAGTTAGCCCAGAGCAAGAGGAGACAGAGTACAGTTTCTGACATTAGTGGGAGTTAATCCAGCCCTCCAGCAACCCACAAAAACAGGGGATGGGCTTCAGAACAGATCCAGTATCTGGCTGAACGGTATTTGTTTTCTCACAGGACTAACCTCTCTCAAAAATTAATGGAGCATCTGGACCAACTAGCATAGCAACAGCCCCAGCTCCCCCTGTTGGCCTGGCATTTCCAGTGGCATACACAGCTATGTCTCCAGCAACAACAAGTGCATAACGTCCTGTGAAAAAACACAGAAATAAGTATGAAAAGTAGCCAAGAGTCTAGCACATTTTAATATCCATCAGCAATTTTTAGACTTTGGTTTAGAGGAGATGACTCCAGGATTAAGGGGTTCTTCAATCCTGGCAGCCATCAAAATTTACAGGAAAAGACTAGCGATGATTATCCATGTCATTATTTTTTGCATGTAACTGAACTAGCAGCAAATGCCCCAAGCATTTAAGAAAAAGACTTCAGAAGCATACAAGAGTTTACCCTCTGTGTTTTATATGGTTAAACATGAACACTGTAATTGCAAGGCAGACTACTCAAAAATAGACACTGACGCAACTTTTCAAGAAAATACCCTGAACTTACCATCCCAAGAACTGGACTCAATCCAATTAATAGCATTAAAAAGAGCAGCGGTGCCTCCATAGCATGCATTCATGGTGTCAATTCCTTCTACATCCATATTACCAGATTCTTCAAAAAGTTGCATCAGGACAGTCTTTACAGATTTTGATTTATCAATTATTGTCTCCGTTCCAATTTCTAATCTCCCGATACAATCATAGGAAAGGCTGTTCCTCTCCATGAGCTTCTGAACCACAGTCAAACAGAGAGAATTGATATCCTCCCGGTCAGAGCAGAATCCCATCTTTGACTGGCCCAACCCAATGGTGTATTTGCCAACATTCACACCATCATACTTCTCCAGCTCTGTCTGGTCGACATACTGAGAGGGAAAATATATTTCCAGTGCAACAATTCCCACATCTTTGGGCCAGCAGGATTCAGCATTCACTGGAAGAGACCCAGGCATCGTGGTAAATCTTTAAGAAAAAAAGAAAACCAGAAAACCCAGCTGATTTATTCACATCCATTTTTAGAGACCTACTTCATACATACTTTAATTTTCTGTAGATTTATAGAAAAGGTTAAGTTTTAGGTATTGTACAAGTTCATTTGCAAAAGGCAAGCCTTCGTCTCCAGGTGAAATGTTGGTCTGAGCATACTGTAAGCATCATTAGAAGTTTTATAACATTTTATATTAAGATCTTTTAAGCAAAAGTACAATTTCAGCCCTGGAGATGAATATACGTAGCTCAAGCCAAGTTATTTCACTGAAGCAAAACACATGTTTAACAAGTGTTAAGCATTTGAGAAATTCTTAGTGTTCATTATTCTACTTTTGTTTATATGCAAAGTCTCAGTTTTACACAACCAAGCTGGAAAGTCTAAAGACTGGGTCTTTTTTTTTTTTTTTTTAAAAAAAAAATCTTGCTAGTTGAGACATTATCACAGAATCACAGAATGTTCAGAGTTGGAAGGGACCTCTAGAGATCATCTAGTCCAACTCCCCTGCTAAAGCAGGATTGCCTAGAGCACATTACTCAGGATTGCATCCAGGCGGGTTTTGAAAATCTCCAGAGAAGGAGACTCCACAACCTCCCTGGGCAACCTGTTCCAGTGCTCTGTCACCCTAACTGTAAAGAAGTTTTTCCGTGTGTTGGAACGGAACTTCCTATGTTCCAACTTGCACCCATTGCCCCTCGTCCTGTCACTGGGAACCACTGAAAAGAGTCTGGCTCCATCCTCCTTCAACCCACCCTTTAGATACTTATAAGCAATAATAAGGTCTCCCCTCAGCCTTCTCTTCTCCAGGCTAAAGAGTCGCAGCTCTCTCAGCCTTTCCTCATAAGGGAGATGCTCCAATCCCTCAATCATCTTGGTTGCCCTTCGCTGGACTCTCTCCAGCAGTTCCCTATCCCTCTTGAACTGTGGAGCCCCATTAAGTTAAAGATTTATACTTACGAGGAAATCTCAGCCAGAACTTTTTAAAATTGTTTTTATTTTTAAACTAAGCGGTCTAAGTTGCTTCATTTTGTTTATACTTGCAACAAAGATAGAAGGTTTTTGGTGTGGTGTTTTCTGGTATTTTTGGTTGGGGTTTTTTTCGTTTGTTCATTT